GAGAAACCAGCTCGAGTGCGCTAGAATTTGAAAAATACAGAACCGGGAAAAATCTGCCACTTCCTTACAGAGCCCCTCCTCCAACACACACGAACGCGCACATGACCAATGAGGGCACGAGATAAGTTTGTGCACAGATGGAAGGCTGACAGGCAGGTAGGCCATCCAGTTATTTTAGCCGGGCCGGCTAAAATGATTGGTCTTGCTTTTTACAGTACTACGGCTTCCACAGATGACATTTTTTTATGGATTTTTTGTCAAAGCACTTAAGATATTAATTGATATCGGGATCTTAAGAGCATTCCATGGAATATAACAAAAAGTGTATCTCGAGCCGGTTTCTCAAACTTACCTACCCCACCTTTAAAAGGCAAGTTGAAAATATGTAAAAACATTCACTGCTATTTGAAGCTAGCAAAACTAAAATGTTTCTGTGTTGCAATTGTATGTTAGCAGATACATTGTGGACCCCATTTTTAGACAATACAGCAATCTTTATCACTGCACCATCCAATAACTACTGTTTACCTGTATCTGGCATGCATCTGTTTCCTGTTAATGTAAAGATTGTGTCTTATGTTTGTATACTTTAAACACACACTTAAACACACGTATAAACTGACACAATAGTAACAGAACTGAAGTAACATGTTCCTAAACGTGCTCTTCCTGTCCATTCATCAGTCCCACACTGGAAAAAAAACATGGCCCTGAATTGAGACAGAGTGACCCCACGCCAGCCTTCTGTCTCCCCCCTCTGCCTCCCAGGGTGAGGCTGGGGCACTGGTAATGGGGGGGGAGCCGGCTGACCCTCCAGTCTGACACCAAACCCACACTCCATGTAGTCACGGATGTTGATGGGTGTTGACGTTCTACCGGTTACTGACCTCGCAGGTATATGTACTACACACACACACACACACAGCCTCTGGATCAGCCTAAGGAAGCCCTAATCATAACAGCATGTGGTCAACCTCTAGTGTAGGTGTAATGTGTAAAGGTTCCCTTCAGGAAATGATCATGTAGGATAACATGATTTCAGATTTTATCAGCAGACTATGCAATATAGGAGGAGGGTAGATTGAGGTAAAATTGTACAGATCAGCAGAAATATGCAATAATTGTCTTGTTTATAAAGGTGCATGACATGTTTCATATTAACCTGAGCACTTTTGGATCATTTTGCATGTAAAATACAGCTCCCAAAATAATTAGGGGTTGTGTAAGAATCATCATTTCCGCCCATCTGTCTCTGCTTGGGTTACAGTTTTGGCAGCAGCTCAGGTTAAACAAATTGCTCTTACAGTATAATATCAGACAAAAATTCAACAGTATTTGAAAAAGTGGCCAAATGAATGTAAGGAAATATTGGCACCACAGCACACTCATAGTGTACTTTTTCTTTTTGTTAGCCACGGTCTAAAGCTATGGACAGATCAGCAGTTTTTTCATAGCTATTATTTCGCTTGTTAGTGCATAGTCCTAATTACAGAAATAGTCTGTCCCATTGGCACATGCATATCAAGGAAATGGTGGAAAGGGAGGGGTACTGAATCCAGCCAACATGTCTGGAATATAACAGGACGTTTTAAGAAGTTGAATAACACCCTGGGAGTGATGTGCTGAAAGGCAGAAAAATGTAAGAGCAGGGATTTTGTGCAAATGTGCCTCCAACAATGTGTTACCTGGGGAAATTATTTGAGATGACATGTTTAAATGTTACATGGAGCCAGGGAATACTGCCAGTGTGAGTTAAAGAAAGCAGGGGAAGAAAGGAAAGAGAGAGAGTGAGAGAAATACAGAGAGAGATGGATGGGCTGTTGTTGCCTGAGCACAGTGTCCAGAGGACTTGAGGCAGGTTCAGGAAGAGGTACTGCTGCTGGAAGCTGATATGTGTGTGAAGGAAGTGGACGGAGCGCAGGGGCAGGAATCACCCTACAGGCAGGAAAAGGCCTGTGGAGGTGACAGCGGGGGTGGAGGTGGAGGGTCTCGGCTCCTGTCTGATAGCTGTTTGCTCAACACACACACACGCTCAAACACGGACATGCTCACACAGTTTTGCAGTAGGTAAAAGGTACACATTTGGCTGCTAATGCCACTCACCAACCCCTGCTAAGGAAGTTGGTTTAAAACATTTTTTTACATGCAACAGTGCTGTTTCTGCCACTTTGTGGGAAATCCACATTTCACTACACATCTGCTTTAGTAGGAAACACTGGTTTTAATCTCAAAGGAGCTTAATACTAAATTCTTTGTGCGTCCATTGGGAATTTTTGTGCAAATGCTTTTGTTAAAGTAAGTTATTTACTGTTTGGCTGTGCTGCTAAAGGTGAAAAGGAACAGGTATCTGTTGCTTAAAAAAAGTTCAAAATAAATTATTGGTTCTTTAGTTATGTGAAACAAATCATAACAGGTTACATGTGTTCGAGATGGAAACACAGTTTTTTTATCTTTACAAGGACCTATTTTGCAATAGAATACTTTTGTCTTTTATTAATATGTAACAGGACAGGGCAGATAAAGAGAAAAGTGGTAGTGCAGCAATCACGACAGAGGCAGTGTTCAAATCCAAAAAGAGGCTTTATTGCTAACAAACTCAAAAATACCTTTAACTAAACAAAGGCTAACGTAGCCGGGCCGCTAACCGACTTACCAGCTTTACAAAAATGTTTCCTCACGCTGGGAGCCTCCTGCTCCCTCCATGTGCCACACACAACTGAGCAACTCTGTGTGCTTTGTCTCCCTTGAGGGAGTGATTAGCACCAGGTGTGAGGTCTCCACACCTGGTCCCAATACTGCTAATTGGCAGCGGGTGGAGCCACCTATTGGGAATGTAGGTGCCTCCCACTACTCTGCCTCTCAGTCCCTTACACACCCCCCCCTTCAGTTCTGGCCTAGGAGAGGTGACCATGGTCCACAGGGCATCTCTACGGGACAGGGCATCTGCATTCCCATGCTTGGCTCCGGCTCTGTGGATGATAGAGAAGTTAAACTCCTGTAGTGAGACAAACCACCTTCCTACTTTAGCGTTTGTGTCTTTTTTATTTGCCATCCAGATCAGTGGGGCATGATCAGTTACCAGAGTGAAGTGACGTCCCAAGAGGTAATACCGGAGGCGCTCAAGCGCCCATTTTATTGCTAGGCCTTCTTTCTCCACAGTAGCATACAGTTGTTCCCTTGTGTTCAGCTTCCGGCTGATGTACATGACGGGGTGTTCCTCACCGTGAACCTCCTGGGATAGTACTGCTCCTATGCCCACCTCTGACGCATCCGTCTGCACAATCATCCCCCGGCTGAAGTCTGGGGTCACCAACACCGGCCGTGCGCAGAGAGCCCTCTTAAGTTCCTCAAAGGCGTGTTCAGCCTCTCCTGTCCACTTGACCATTAGCGGCTGTGAGTCTCTGGTCAGGTCTGTAAGGGGAGAGGCTACTGTGGAGAAGTTTGGGATGAAACGGCAATAATAGGACGTCAGACCCAAGAATGTTTTCACCTGTTTCTTTGTTGACGGCCGTGGCCAGTCCTGGATCGCCTGAACCTTCCTTTCTTGTGGTCTAACGTTGCCCCGCCCAATGGTGAAGCCCAGGTATTCGGCTTCCTCTAGTCCAAGCTTGCATTTTCTTGGATTAGCTGTCAAGCCCGCCCTGCGGAGAGATTCCAGCACTGCTGCAAGCCTTATGAGATGGCTATCCCATGAGTCACTGTGGATAACAACGTCATCCAAATAGGCAGCTGCATACTCACGATGTGGCCTCAGAACCTTGTCCATCAGTCTCTGGAACGTGGCTGGTGCTCCATGAAGCCCGAAGGGAAGCACAGTGTACTGGTACAGCCCTGTGGGGGTGGCGAAGGCCGTCTTCTCTCTTGAGGCAGCTTCAAGTGGGACCTGCCAATACCCTTTCGTCAAGTCCAGAGTGCTGATATACCTGGCTTCCCCAAGCCGATCAATTAGCTCATCTATCCTGGGCATAGGATACGCATCAAACTTGGAGATTTCATTCAATTTTCTGAAATCATTACAAAACCTGTTGGTTTTGTCTGGCTTAGGAACCAGAACGACAGGGCTGGTCCACTCACTGTGAGATTCTTCAATCACCCCCATAGCCAGCATTTTCTGCACTTCTTGCTCAATGGCCGCCCGTCTTGCCTCCGGCACCCGGTAGGGTCGCATCTTTACCTTTTGGCCAGGCTCTGTGTGGATTTGATGTTCCACCATCGTTGTGCGTCCAGGTCGTAGTGAGAACACATCCAAACTCTGCTGAACCAGTTCCTTGGTTTGCTGTAACTGAGCTTTGGATAGCCCTGGACCGTATTCAACTTCGGCCACCTCATGGTCTGGAGAAGGGGATACAAACAGGGAACAAGAACACAGCAGTGCCTCTCGGGCATACCATTTCTTTAACAGGTTAACATGGTATATTTGGGATGGTTTGCGACGGCCAGGTTGGCGTACCTTGTAGTTGACTGGTCCCACCTTCTCTGTCACTTCATAGGGACCTTGCCACGATGCCAGGAATCTGTGTTCTGTGGTGGGGACCAGGAGAAGCACTTTATCCCCGGGCAGGAACTCACGTGGTTGGGCACCTCTGTTATACACTTTTCTCTGGGCTTCTTGGGCTTGAGCCATGTGCTCTCTGACCATGGGCCAAACATCTTTCATATGCGTCTGCATCGTCTCTACATGCTCAATCAGGCTCCGATGGGGGCTTGGTTGCTCCTCCCAGGCTTCCTTCGCGATGTCGAGAAGTCCTCTGGGCTGTCGGCCATACAGCAGCTCGAAGGGGGAGAAACCGGTTGAAGCCTGTGGAACTTCCCTGATTGAAAACAGGACATAGGGCAGAAGCTGGTCCCAGTTACGACCATCCTTGTCAACAACCTTCTTTAACATGGATTTCAACGTCTTGTTAAAGCGTTCTACCAATCCGTCTGTCTGCGGATGGTAGACAGATGTACGAAGCTGCTTTACCTTGAAGAGCCTGCAGAGATCCTTCAATATCTTGGACATGAAGGGAGTGCCTTGGTCTGTTAGCATCTCTTTAGGAATCCCAACTCGACTGAACAGGTGAAGCAGCTCCCGTGCAATCACTCTCGTTGTCATGTTCCTCAAGGGAATGGCCTCCGGGTACCTGGTTGCATAGTCAAGGATCACAAGAATATACTGATGTCCCCTGGCAGACTTCACCAGCGGCCCCACTAAGTCCATGGCAATGCGAGAAAACGGTACATCGATTATCGGTAGAGGTATTAGGGGACTTTTAAAGTGTGGCTTGGGACTCATCTTTTGACATTCAACACAGGTGCGACAATAATCCTCTATAGCCCTTACCACCCCTGGCCAGTGGAACCGGCTCCCAATCCGCTGCCTTGTCTTCTCAACCCCTAGGTGGGCCCCTAGGACATGGCTGTGAGCCAGATGCAACACTGTGGACACATATTGTTTTGGGACAACCAACAAGTCTCTTCGCTGACCTTCAACCTCTTTGGCATAGTATAACAGATTATTTTTTATTAGGAAATGAGGACATGTAAGCTCACCCACTCCTGGAACTGGTTTTCCCTCTATTTCCGTAACATTGCTGCGTGCATGCAACAGATTGGGGTCTTCCATCTGGGCGGTCCCGAACTGGCCCTTCAAACTTGGAAGCAATGAGACTTCCCCCTCCTCATGACCTGTGCTTAGGTCTCCAGGGAAAGCAACAAAAGGGTTATCATTTGCCTCGTCTGCACTGGAAGATTGGTTGCCTCTCTGCTCCTCCGGCACAGCACACACAACGTTGGGGAACTGCTGAGGAGAAGTACCCTGGGTGGCAGTTTGTCCTCTCTCGTTTTCCTTTGGCACGCTTGTGCTTTTTGGGACTCACCTCCTTCTGGTGCCGCAGGCGCTTGTATAGTGGGCAGTCTCGCCCCACCAAGACTGGGACTGGTAGGGAAGGAACCACCCCCACTTTCATCTCACAGCTGCCTTTAACTGTGGTAAGGTGGATGAGGCAAGTGGGGTATAATTTAGTGTCCCCATGGACACAGGAGACGGGCACAGTCTCTTCAGATGGCAAATGGTCGAGGAGGTGGGGTTGAATGAGGGTTACCACACTTCCTGAGTCCACTAGCGCCTCTGCATCTTTTCCATTTACTTTGACTGGTATCATTTGAGCCAGGGAGCTTTCCTGTACCCAGCAAGAGTCAAGAAGGTGGCAGGGCCTTGCACCAGATGAGTTGGCGGTCGGCATTAGCTCATCCTTCCCTGGGCAGTCCCGGGCAATATGGCCTGTCTCCCCACACTGGTAGCAACGCGGTTGGCCCTCTGGCAGGTAGGACTGTCGTCGCCTTACCTCTTCTGGTTCCCATCGCGGTTCTCGTGCCCGTCTAGTCCGTGATGCTTCCCCACTGACTTTCCGGCCCCACTCGGTGTCTGGTCGTGTGGACTTAAGCAGGTCCGCTGTGACCACGTGGCTCTCCACTACGTTAACCAACTCATCCAGACCGGCTGGATTCTGCTGGCTTGTCATTTTCTTGATCTCATAGGGCAGAGACCGAATATATTTGTCCATCATTATCCTCTCTAAAACACTTAACTTTTCGGGGTTGCATGTCAGCCAGGCTCTGGTTACCCGGCCTAGGTCATACATCTGGGCCCTGGCTGACAACTCTGGCTTGTATTTCCATTCATGGAACCGCTGGGCTCTTGCTGCTAAGCTGTAGCCATACCTCGCCAGGATTTCCTTCTTCAAGACGACGTAATCCTTTGCTTGGTCCGGAGGGAGGTCGAAGTAAGCTTGCTGTGCCGGGCCCAGGAGGAACGGTCCAACCAGATCAGCCCAGGAGTCCCTTGGCCAGCCCTCTCTTTCAGCTGTGCGCTCAAAGGCCGTTAAGTAGGCCTCTATCTCATCACTCTCTGTCATTTTGGGGATGAATCGACCTGGGTTAGGCTGCATGGTTGCTTCCCTCTGGACAGGAGAGGCTGCTGTAAGGCATTTTTGGACCTCCATGTGGAGAAGTGCATTCTGTTTCTGCTGCTCCTGTATCATCTGCCGTTGCAGAGTCTGCTGCTCAGTAGAAATACGCACCAACTCCTTTAGTACATCCTCCATCTTGAAAACGTAAAAAAAAAATTGTTCTGACTGCAACACCACCAATAGAGTCTTTATGCCCGCATTCTCCACCAGTGTAACAGGACAGGGCAGATAAAGAGAAAAGTGGTAGTGCAGCAATCACGACAGAGGCAGTGTTCAAATCCAAAAAGAGGCTTTATTGCTAACAAACTCAAAAATACCTTTAACTAAACAAAGGCTAACGTAGCCGGGCCGCTAACCGACTTACCAGCTTTACAAAAATGTTTCCTCACGCTGGGAGCCTCCTGCTCCCTCCATGTGCCACACACAACTGAGCAACTCTGTGTGCTTTGTCTCCCTTGAGGGAGTGATTAGCACCAGGTGTGAGGTCTCCACACCTGGTCCCAATACTGCTAATTGGCAGCGGGTGGAGCCACCTATTGGGAATGTAGGTGCCTCCCACTACTCTGCCTCTCAGTCCCTTACAAATATATGAATATTTTATTACAGTGTTAACTGAGCAGCTGGATATAGTTCCATAAAAAAAACAAGATAATTGCGCAATTTACTGATTTACCAAGTAGCCAAGAGCAAAATGTGTGTATCATTTTAAATATTTAGTAATTCCTTTCTTCACAAAGACTGGACCTGTTCTGAGGAGGTTGCCAGTACATATCTCTTCTGCAAGTAAAAACAGAAAAATAAGTTGTAGTAAGTCTTTCTCCAGTGTCATTATGAGACCCACCCAACACAAATTCCTCAACTATGAATCCTGTAGCACTTTCATCGTTAGCATAAATACCTTCACAGCATTGAGGGATTATAAAAATGCACATTTGGATCTTTCATGGACTTTGACAGGAAGTTAGCAGATCCGCAGTAACCAGGCAGAGGTACACTGTGAGCTGCTGACATTTTTAATGCAGCTCGTTCTTCACACTTCCACAGAGGGTGTGTTTCTGTGCTTGTGACATTTTTCTACAGCAAGTGTATCAGTCACTGTACTGTTATGCCTCTGTTAGAGTGTGTTCAGACAACCATAACATCCAAAAACAAACAGTGAGGTAACTCAAACTACTGATTAACACGCCATTCGGATAAATCATTTTTCACGAAAGGGAAGCATTCAGGTCATTAGAAATGGACCTGAATGCTTTGGTACGCACGTTTCACTTCACCTTCAACCATGAACAGTAAACCATTTAAAATAAACACTCCTCCAACACCAAAGAAAGAAACTGATATGAATAGTATCCATTTCTTCTCTTTCTGTAGTATTACGCCTGCAAGAAGTGGCAGGAGCTCAAGACAAACAAATGTATATGTATGTATGAGCCCATATATATTGGAAACTGTATAAGATTCAATTTGTTAAAACGTAAATTACCTTTTTGTTGAAACTGGGTCATCAAAGCGAGTTAAGGAATGAAGGGAAAATAGACAAATGGTTGTTTTTGTATGTGAAGGACCACATAACACACGGCACCTTGATTAATGAAATTAGAGCCTCAATAGAGAGTATCACATTTTATTTACAACTCATTACAATAAAAGAGAGTTATCTTGGATTTAAATACATCTGCAGCTGTTTCATTACCAGATTTACAGATTTAAAGCAGATGTGCAGGGGAGCCTCACTCACATTATCATATTTCCAGATGGAGCCCACATATGGACTTACAAAAATGTGAACAATTTGTGTCTGTCACCTTGTAAAATGTATAGTAAGGTGGTTGCACATCACAATGGTTCAGCAGGATTTTTTTTAAAAGGCAAGAAGGAAAAAGTGATAATTGTAGCCTGCTGTCTCTTTGTGATACTTGACCAGTTGCAGGCTTGTTTGTCACATAGCTTTTCCTTAAGACCAACTATCCATTGTTATGTACAGTGTGACACGTGTTGTTATTTCCCTGCTTCTAAAAGACTTAGCAAGGCCTTCACATCTTGCACACAGAAGGGGCCGTGACCTCAGAAGCGACCCCCACCACTTCACTCAGAGGACACACAGTAAACATCCCATTGTAGAACGAGTGGGGAAAGACCCTGGTCTCCTCGAAAAAATCTTATCAAGGATCTGAGACACATATTCACCACTACCACTAATGACCTTGACCTTTTTATATGTTTAGCAATATAATCGACTGAAGACATTAATATCAAAACGTTTCATTTGACTTTTTTCCCAAAGCTGCATCTTCACCGTTTAGGAAAATCTGAACTTAAATATCTTCCTGTGCACAAGTTCCCACCTAATACAAAGTATTTATTTAAGGCTACTTATTTTAGTACAATTACTTTACTTATCTGTACATTTTACCATAAGATGGGGAACCTTTCCATATTTTACTTTTGATTCTTTAGAGTACAGTGTGCTCCCAGTAACATCTTACATAGTGGAGCATTTAGAATTTTAATAGCAAAATATTTCCTCATGAACTTTGCATAAACTCGGTCTGTAAATAAGTAAGTCTTTGCTAACAAAATAATAGGTGATAAAGTAACAAACCCATTAACTTGTTCTCATCCCAAAACAAATCTATACCTCTGCTGGAATGACCAAACTTGCCCACAATTATCAAATCAATGATCAGAGCATTTTTAAAGAAAAGTCATAGATAAAGCATCGAATTACTATAATATTCAAACCGCCCAAGTGGCCGTGGGAAACATTTCAGCTGATGCTGACTTATCATTTTACTGTCCCAACCCTTCCTCGTCCCTGCCATCTGCCCCAAGACATGCAGCGTGAGGCATCCTGGAACATGCAGAGGGAGGGAGGGAGGGAGGGAGGAAGAGTAAAGGAGGGAGATGTAAAGATGCAGAGTGGCCAGGAAGTGGCCCTATTGTTTTCAGGGTAACCTCGCTTTTCCTTTCGGGGCCACCAGAGATCTGTTCTCTACTCTTGGGCTGTACGTCTTAAACAAACAAAACTCCTTGTCGCCACAAACTGTATCTTGTCTGATTTCCTCCCGTCTCTGGAAAGGACAGAGGGAAGGGTTTACACTGTAGATTAACACAACAAGGCGTGGCACGTAGCAGCCATACTAACTCAACTACACTCAAACACACTACAAGAAGGGAAGGCTACAAAAAGCTGATAATAAAGGTTATTGTATTATTCACTGGAGCAGTCTACACAATGTCTGTTTGCACTCAAGCAGGTTTTACTGGTTGCTCACTTTTTCAATGGTAGTTAACATGTGAAATATTTGAAATATTTGTCCTAAATGATTTTGATCTCTTCCTGGTTTGGCTCTGCTGAGTGACAGCGCTGGCTCTGACCAGGTCTGCTGTGCCACTGGGCGGAGCGAGCCAAAGTAGGCGGGAGGGAGCACACCTTAGTTACATAGTAACTCATTAACTTGTCCTTCTGGGAAGCAGTTGCAGAGCAAACCTTGGTCAACCTTTGCACACCCACTCTCCATTTTACATACAAAGCAAAACAAAATGTAGTAGAGGCTGATGTGTACTGTGAGAGCGGAGAGACACAAGGTGAACTCGCTGAAGCTCGAGGAAAACTACACAGACAGGTGAACAGGTAAGATTGTAAATCAACAGCTAAGAGTGGGAGCTTTGACAGTGCCGTCTGCTGACTGTGTTGTACTATGTAAAGATCACATGACAATCTTGACTTGCTTGTTAATAAATAGCTTATCATGTGAGACTCATAATGAAATCATTTCTAATTATTGGACCAAAAATGTCCCATTGTGCTAAAACAAGGGATACAAAAATAGTTCCCAAATCATACATTCTCAGATGTTTTGATTGACTGAATTATTGCCAGTAAAATTAATTTGACTTTTATAAGTCTTTGCAGTGAAAGTTCAGTTCAAAAAAGTGTATTCTTTCTCAATACAGAATAGTCAACGTCACAGTGTTTTCATTTCAGTGACCGGGTAGCCAAACATGTTCCTGCACCTGTTGCATGGTAGCCAATTGCTGTTTTCACCCAAAACAGTAAGGCATCATTAGCATCTTCAGTTAGTTGTTTAATGCAAGGAGCTAAGGCTATCTTTAAATATTAAATATCATTGTTTGTGATGATGCAGGTCATTTAGTTTGATGTTTTGTGAGTTTAACGTTACTGGATTTGAGTTGTTATTTCCCTAAGTCTCTCTGTTGGCTGCCATTATTACAGGAGTGAAGAGCAAAAACCAAACATAACATTTGAGGGAACTTCACTTGAATTATTAGGACATTTAACTAGAAACGGAAAACAGATTAGCAATAGCTAAAATGTTATTCAGATATTTTACACAGGCACTGACCCTGATTTAACGCATGAGTTATGATCATGCTTTAAATGGTTTGGGACTCACACAACGTCCAGCTGGTTTTTAACTCACTATCAGACCTTTTGCCATTATCGTTGACAAACAATGGCACAGCCAGACTCCTCCACACATTTTCAAAGCAAGACAGAAATAGGCCTAGAGATCTTGGCAAAGGGATAAGAGGGAGGCCTGTTGCATGTTTGTTGGGGCCAGGGTCAACAGAAAGGACGTCTCTTTGGTGTAGGAAAATGTATGATAATATTAGCCAGGGATAGAGGTGTGTGCTTAGTAGAATTTGTCTGATTTGCTATATCAATCCAAACTTTTGTGTGCAGTTTTTCTTCCTTTTAAAGTCAAGCTCTTTGTTACAAACTAAGTAAATACAGTTTGGTAGTTTAGTCAAGTGAGCGCTAACTAGCTAAGGTTTCTGGCCACCTGCAGCAGAACACAAGACATCTGATGTGTTACAAGATGATTATTAGGATAGGAAAGAACAAAAGAGAATGTTCTGCTTTACAAATGTGTATTTGGCACTTTTTAGGTTAAATACTGGACCCTTTGGCCGTGAAACTAGTAGTTTGCAGGAAAAATAAGTTATTGTGACAATGCTAACAACTTAAGCATCTAACATGTGAAAAGGGTCTACAAGGTCCCAACTATAGCTGTCTAAGAAATGTAGTGGAGTCAAACGTATAGAACAATTTAAAAGCACGTTTTAAATAGCTCAGTATGAAACTGTATAAAGTAGTTCAAAGTTGACATCTGCACCATCATTATCAAATTCTAAACCCATGAATTGCTTACAGTTAGTTATGTTCAAAGGAATGTGATCACACTCCACAATGGGATTAATGTTGATGTTTTATTCAGTTAGATAGCAGAAAGAACTTTTCACACCCTCTGGCCATCATTAGTGTCTAAAATGACACAACTCACAATTTGGGGCACTGTAACAAAGAATGACTAAGAAAAATTGACTCCTCGCTTT